GCAGTGACATGGATCATGGGGTAAGTCTAAAGCTGCTTCGCAGCGCACTTGGCGCAAGTCAAGACGATATCATGTAATGAAAAATTCCAACTGTTTTTTTGAAAACATGCCAAATGTCATTCCTGAATACTTGCCTAATAAAAGTGACTCGTGCGGTGATGCTTGTTATTTCAATTTCAGGAAAGTAATAATAGAGCAAATCCGACTCGGTGAGATGTACACTACTATCGGTGAACGCCATTTCAAGTCTTCAAACTGAAGACGTTCATTGTATCGTCGCAATGCTATGGGTGATACTTCGTTTTTGTCACCAGCCCCAACGCCCCCCTTGCAAATCTGCTGGTTTCAGACTAATTAGGCCCGTATTATTTTTGTAATAATAATTATCAACTCAGTGATATTATCTTGCTAGGGCTTTTTGTACCCCATTGGGAAGGATTATTTTGCACTTCATTGCTCCACATGTTTGTGTAAAGATGTAATCCCACTCCTTGATTAATCTGGTTCTAGAGATAGTGCCACTATTCCCTGCTCACACAGCTACGCTACCAACTCCTGTTCACTCCTGTTTCCTCTCCATTCACCTTCTGTTCCCTCCTGTTTCCTCTCCATCCAGCTACCAACTCCCACCCTCGCTTGTTCATGTCCAGCATCATTCCCACATCGGTTCTTGACAATGACAACCTTCTGGTAGAAATCCTTACTAGGCTATCATGCACTCGTTCACTTATTCGCAGCTCAGCTGTTAATCCCCAATGGATGTCTGTATCTAGATCTCAGTCTTTCCTTCAGGCGTATTCTCGTCGCAATCGCCCGGCAGTGCTCGGATTCTTGGCAGAGTTCGAGCGTGGTTACAGTCTCCATTTTCGTGTTGTGGATGCATTAGCTTTTCAAGGTGAGTCGACTAGAGCTCTGCTTCGTTCCCGTATAGATGATTATTCCCTATCACAGAAACGCATACTAGCATCTGAATCTGGTGAGCTGCTAGTAAGTATTATCAACCCTCCCTTCGTTTCCTCTGAAACGGGCGAGACTGTCGTCGATGGCTACTACACCTTGTTCCCTAGCTCGTTTCCACCAGTATACTACTTTGTTGCGTCTCGTATCCCTCGAGTCCCTCGCATGCATGGCCAGCACAACCCAAACTTTTACGGCCAATTTGGCATTCTGCCAGCAGCCGGCCAGATCGGGTTCTCTTTCTTTGTCAAGGACGCAGCCGGCCCTTTTCTGAAAACATACGATGGTATTAAATTCAGGTCTAAATCTGATTTCCACGTATATGTATGTGTTTTCAGAGGTGGTGTTTGGTCAAGATTTGTGTCGGCTCCTTTTGAATATCGTTCTCCTTGCATCTTTCACTTAGATCCTTACTCCGTTTTAGCCGGGAGCTCATTATACATGATGTATGTCGTGGGCATGATCATCTGTTTCGACATTCCTAGCTCTACGTTCACTGTTGTCCATCTACCAATATCAGCCAGATCCTGTTTTGACTACAGTGTTTCCCTAAACGAGTCTGGCATCTTGTCTCTTGTTAACTGTTCACATGGCTTGCTCAATACGTGGCTGCTTCAACTAGTACACGGCCGCTTGCAGTGGAGCTGTTGCTCAAGATTAGATTTAGTAAAGGCATTTTCTAGCAGGGGTGGACCTACCATATGGCAGTCTGCATTTGGCATGGAGTACGGGGAGGTTGGCCCTGGTGATTTCTACTCCGTTCAGATCAGATCAGCCAGCAAGAACTCATCAGTTGTTCTGCTAACCTTCGCATTCGACCATGGCATGTTTGTCGTGGACACTGTTAACGACACTGTTAATGAGGTTCACTGGTTGCCCGAGGATGGAGACATGAGGCAAGCATTCCCCTTGACGGAGCGTTGGCCACCGACTTTCCGTGACTGAAGACTCCGCCACTATCATGGTCCAACCATTATGTTGTGTATGTAATGGGATCCTTGTGTCCATGATACTATTGTATTGCATTTGTAATGAACTCGTTGTGTCCATGAGACTATGATTTTGCATTCCCCCCTGCTTGTAACATATGAACAATTGAGGAACCATAATCTATGTATCGGATTTTCACTTCGCCTCATATATAATTTAGGTTGTTTTATATTTCGTGAATGTGGATCGTAATGGCTTCCTGCTATCTAAAGTCATCCTTCTCGAACTACATGAGTAATAGTTGTGTCGAACAGAAGATCATGTTTTGACGAACTTCCTTCGTTTTGGTCAAAACAAGCACCGGTCGTGGGCGTGTAAAGTACTATAGCCGGCCGAAGTTGAGATACATGTGCATTGATATCATTTGCTAGAGTCTTTCATCTTGATTACTATAACCGGGCCGGGGTTAAAATATATGTGCATTGCCATCTTGATTACTAAAACCGGGCCGGCGTGTAAAGTACTATAGCCCGGGCCGAGGTTATGATACACGCGCATTGATATCAACTGCTTCACCTCGATTCACATATGAGAGCTATTCATCTATGAGTAGTGAACTATATATTGGAGCCTTGTAACATTAACGGATCACACGAGCACTAGTCATCGTGCATTTCCCTGATCACACACTAAAGTACTTCATCCCGAATTGCATGAGCACCAGTCACCGGTTACTAAAGTACTATTTTCGGGCCTAATACCGGGCCGGAGTTAAAATACATGTGCATTGCCATCAATTGCCAAAGTCCTTCGGTTGGGTTAAAACACGCACCGGTCATGGGCGTGTAAAGTACTATAGCCGGCCGAATCTGACATACATGTGCATTGTTATCATTTGCTAAAAGCTTTCATTTGAACAACCCGAACACCGCGCATGAGTGTGTTTCCTTGGATCGCATGATAAAGTTCTTCACCTCGAATCACACGAGCACTAGTCATCGATGGGTAAAGTACTATTGCCGAGAGCTTAGTAAAAGTATCATGCATTTCTTGAATCACATGCTGAGTGATTGGTTACTTTAGTATTATTTTCTGGCCTTGTAACATTAATGGGGCGGGAAACAAAACATGCCGCAACACCGACTGAATCATGCATATCATTAAAATATCATTAGTACTAGCCACATTACCACCACGAGTATGCTTTGGTGACACCGACATCTACTGCTAAAGTCCTTCACTCAGAACGACATGAGCACCGGTCACGCGGGTGTAAAGTACTATAACCGGCCCGAAGTCAACATACATGTGCATTGATATCATTGGATAAAGTCCTTTGTTCCGAATAAAACGAGCACCGGTCATGCGTGTTTAAAGTAGTATAGTCAAGGGCGAAGTTAACATACATGTGCATCGGTATCAAGTACTAAAGTCCTTCATATTTAATAAAACGAGCACTGGTCCTGTGTGTGTAAAGTACTATAGGCCGGGCCGAGGTTATGATACACGCGCATTGATATCAACTTCTTCATCTCGATTCACACATGAGAGCTATTCATCTATGAGTAGAGAACTATATATTAGAGCCTTGTAACATTAACGGATCACACGAGCACTAGTCATCTAGAATTTCCCTGATCACACACTAAAGTACTTCATCCCGAATTGCATGAGCACCAGTCACCGGTTACTAAAGTACTATTTTCGGGCCTAATACCGGGCCGGAGTTAAAATACATGTGCATTGCCATCAATTGCCAAAGTCCTTCGTTTTGGTTAAAACAAGCACCGGTCATGGGCGTGTATAGTACTATAGCCGGCCGAATCTGACACACATGTGCATTGTTATCATTTGCTAAAGTCTTTCATTTTGAACAACCCGAACACCGCGCATGAGTGTGTTTCCTTGGATCGCATGATAAAGTTCTTCACTTCGAATCACACGAGCACTAGTCATCGATCGTTAAAGTACTATTGCCAAGAGCTTAGTACAAGTATCATGCATTTCTTGAATCACATGCTGAGTGACCGGTTACTTAAGTATTATTTTCTGGCCTTGTAACATTAATGGGGCGGGAAACAAAACATGCCGCAACACCGACTGAATCATGCATATCATTAAAATATCATTAGTACTAGCCACATTACCACCATGAGTATGCCTCGGTGACACCGACATCTACTGCTAAAGTCCTTCACTCAGAACGACATGAGCACCGGTCACGCGGGTGTAAAGTACTATAACCGGCCCGAAGTCAACATATATGTGCATTGATATCATTGGATAAAGTCCTTCGTTCCGAATAAAACGAGCACCGTTCATGCGTGTTTAAAGTAGTATAGTCGAGGGCGAAGTTAACATACATGTGCATCGGTATCAAGTACTAAAGTCCTTCATATTTAATGAAACGAGCACTGGTCCTGTGTGTGTAAGTACTATAGGCCGGGCCGAGGTTATGATACACGCGCATTGATATCAACTTCTTCATCTCGATTCACACATGAGAGCTATTCATCTATGAGTAGAGAACTATATATTAGAGCCTTGTAACATTAACTGATCACACGAGCACTAGTCATCTAGCATTTCCTTGATCACACACTAAAGTACTTCATCCCGAATTGCATGAGCACCAGTCACCGGTTACTAAAGTACTATTTTCGGGCCTAATACCGGGCCGGAGTTAAAATACATGTGCATTGCCATCAATTGCCAAAGTCCTTCGTTTTGGTTAAAACAAGCACCGGTCATGGGCGTGTATAGTACTATAGCCGGCCGAATCTGACACACATGTGCATTGTTATCATTTGCTAAAGTCTTTCATTTTGAACAACCCGAACACCGCGCGTGAGTGTGTTTCCTTGGATCGCATGATAAAGTTCTTCACTTCGAATCACACGAGCACTAGTCATCGATCGTTAAAGTACTATTGCCAAGAGCTTAGTACAAGTATCGTGCATTTCTTGAATCACATGCTGAGTGACCGGTTACTTAAGTATTATTTTCTGGCCTTGTAACATTAATGGGGCGGGAAACAAAACATGCCGCAACACCGACTGAATCATGCATATCATTAAAATATCATTAGTACTAGCCACATTACCACCATGAGTATGCTTCGGTGACACCGACATCTACTGCTAAAGTCCTTCACTCAGAACGACATGAGCACCGGTCACGCGGGTGTAAAGTACTATAACCGGCCCGAAGTCAACATACATGTGCATTGATATCATTGGATAAAGTCCTTCGTTCCGAATAAAACGAGCACCGGTCATGCGTGTTTAAAGTAGTATAGTCGAGGGCGAAGTTAACATACATGTGCATCGGTATCAAGTACTAAAGTCCTTCATATTTAATAAAACGAGCACTGGTCCTGTGTGTGTAAAGTACTATAGGCCGGGCCGAGGTTATGATACACGCGCATTGATATCAACTTCTTCATCTCGATTCACACATGAGAGCTATTCATCTATGAGTAGAGAACTATATATTAGAGCCTTGTAACATTAACGGATCACACGAGCACTAGTCATCTAGCATTTCCTTGATCACACACTAAAGTACTTCATCCCGAATTGCATGAGCACCAGTCACCGGTTACTAAAGTACTATTTTCGAGCCTAATACCGGGCCGGAGTTAAAATACATGTGCATTGCCATCAATTGCCAAAGTCCTTCGTTTTGGTTAAAACAAGCACCGGTCATGGGCGTGTATAGTACTATAGCCGGCCGAATCTGACACACATGTGCATTGTTATCATTTGCTAAAGTCTTTCATTTTGAACAACCCGAACACCGCGCATGAGTGTGTTTCCTTGGATCGCATGATAAAGTTCTTCACTTCGAATCACACGAGCACTAGTCATCGATCGTTAAAGTACTATTGCCGAGAGCTTAGTACAAGTATCGTGCATTTCTTGAATCACATGCTGAGTGACCGGTTACTTAAGTATTATTTTCTGGCCTTGTAACATTAATGGGGCGGGAAACAAAACATGCCGCAACACCGACTGAAGCATGCATATCATTAAAATATCATTAGTACTAGCCACATTACCGCCACGAGTATGCTTCGGTGACACCGACATCTACTGCTAAAGTCCTTCACTCAAAACGACATGAGCACCGGTCACGCGGGTGTAAAGTACTATAACCGGCCCGAAGTCAACATACATGTGCATTGATATCATTGGATAAAGTCCTTCGTTCCGATCAAAACGAGCACCGGTCATGCGTGTTTAAAGTAATATAGTCGAGGGCGAAGTTAACATACATGTGCATCGGTATCAAGTACTAAAGTCCTTCATATTTAATGAAACGAGCACTGGTCCTGTGTGTGTAAAGTACTATAGGCCGGGCCGAGGTTATGATACACGCGCATTGATATCAACTTCTTCATCTCAATTCACACATGAGAGCTATTCATCTATGAGCAGAGAACTATATATTAGAGCCTTGTAACATTAACGGATCACACGAGCACTAGTCATCTAAAGTACTTCATCCCGAATTGCATGAGCACCAGTCACCGGTTACTAAAGTACTATTTTCGGGCCTAATACCGGGCCGGAGTTAAAATACATGTGCATTGCCATCAATTGCCAAAGTCCTTCGTTTTGGTTAAAACAAGCACCGGTCATGGGCATGTATAGTACTATAGCCGGCCGAATCTGACACACATGTGCATTGTTATCATTTGCTAAAGTCTTTCATTTTGAACAACCCGAACATCGCGCATGAGTGTGTTTCCTTGGATCGCATGATAAAGTTCTTCACTTCGAATCACACGAGCACTAGTCATCGATCGTTAAAGTACTATTGCCGAGAGCTTAGTACAAGTATCGTGCATTTCTTGAATCACATGCTGAGTGACCAGTTACTTAAGTATTATTTTCTGGCCTTGTAACATTAATGGGGCAGGAAACAAAGCATGCCGCAACACCGACTGAATCATGCATATCATTAAAATATCATTAGTACTAGCCACATTACCACCATGAGTATGCTTCGGTGACACCGACATCTACTGCTAAAGTCCTTCACTCAGAACGACACGAGCACCGGTCACGCGGGTGTAAAGTACTATAACCGGCCCGAAGTCAACATACATGTGCATTGATATCATTGGATAAAGTCCTTCGTTCCGATTAAAACGAGCACCGGTCATGCATGTTTAAAGTAGTATAGTCGAGGGCGAAGTTAACATACATGTGCATCGGTATCAAGTACTAAAGTCCTTCATATTTAATGAAACGAGCACTGGTCCTGTGTGTGTAAAGTACTATAGGCCGGGCCGAGGTTCACACATGAGAGCTATTCATCTATGAGTAGAGAACTATGTATTAGAGCCTTGTAACATTAATGGATCACACGAGCACTAGTCATCTAAAGTACTTCATCCCAAATTGCATGAGCACCAGTCACCGATTACTAAAGTACTATTTTCGAGCCTAATACCGGGCCGGAGTTAAAATACATGCGCATTGCCATCAATTGCCAAAGTCCTTCGTTTCGGTTAAAACAAGCACCGGTCATGGGCGTGTAAAGTACTATAGCCGGCCGAATCTGTCATACATGTGCATTGATATCATTTGCTAAAATCTTTCACTTGAACAACCCGATCACCGCGTATGAGTGTGTTTCCTTGGATCGCATGGAAAAGTTCTTCACCTCGAATCACACGAGCGCTAGTCGTCGGTGGGTAAAGTACTATCACACGAGCATTGATATCATCTGATAAAGTCCTTCGTTTCGATTGAAACGAGCACCGGCCATGCGTGTGTAAAGTACTAGTGTATAGTGGGAAGTTAACATACGTGTGCATCGGTATCAAGTACTAAAGTCCTTCCTTCTAATGAAACGAGCACTGGTCGTGTACGTGTAAAGTACTTCACTCATCGACATGGACTGCTAAAGTCCTTCACTCATAATGACATGAGCACCGGTCACGCGGGTGTAAAGTACTATAACCGGCCCGAAGTTATCATACATGTGCATTGACATCATTTGATGAAGTCCTTCATTTCGATTAAAACGAGCATTGGTCATGCATGTGTAAAGTACTATCGTCGAGGGCGAAGTTAACATACATGTGCATCGATATCAAATACTAAAGTCCTTATTTTTTAATGAAACAAGCACTGTAGTGTGTCTGTAAAGTACTATAACCGGGCCAAGGTTATGATACACGCGCATTGATATCAACTTCTTCAACTCGATTCACATGAGAGCTATTCATCTATGAGTAATGAACTATATATTGGAGCCTTCTAACATTAACAGATCACATGAGCACTAGTCATAGTGCATTTCCTTGACCACACACTAAAGTCCTTCATCCCGAATTGCATGAGCACCAGTGACCGGTTACTAAAGTATTATTTTCAGGTTATCCCAAAATGTTATATATTTATAATTATCCCAGCCTTCCAAAATGCACTTTTCTCTGAATCAAACCATAGTGAGGTTATCCCAAAATTCCCAAAAAATGACCCGGCCCTCACTGTTGTAAAGTTTGTTTACTCTTTTGGCCAGATTGTTGTAGTTTTTTAGCACAACATCTGCAGAAGAGCAAATCATCATACGTATGACCTGTGTGTTGTACCACATCCAACGCAAGGGCAAAAACTAGTGCCAACATTCCTATATCCTCCCCACCCCTCACCCCCTCCCGAACGAGATGCCACAGCCACAAAATCCCCTCCTCCTCCTCACCAAACCTAACCTTATCCGTGGCGTGCGTCTTCGCTGCTTGTGGTCTCCCAAATGGAATCCTCTTCCTCGCCATCTGGAGCACGCTCGTCCTCCCATGGTGGACCTCCTGGCTATTCTCCGAACCCTTCCCCAATTCCTTATCGTGAGCAGCCGCTAGCATACGAGCCATCTGAAGATTGCCCATGCCACAAGAAAGCGGCGAGATGGATCTCCTGGAGCAACGGAAATCCTGGTCGTAGGTATCTGACCTGCCAGAGATCTCGGGTAAGCATTCATTTGACAGTATTTCCTTCTCCGTTCTTGCTGGATCTTTCTCGCATTCATATATTTGGCACACTTTCTTGTCCAGGTCGGAGGTTGCAGGTGGTGGCGATGGATTGATGACCCTACTACGCCCTTTCTTCGCCAACTTTTGGTCGATCTGCGTGACGCGGTGAACAACCTCCGGAGGGAGAACACTCAGCTCAGAGGAGTAAATGCAGACCTGGAAATGGGGATTGAGGACCGAAGCACCCAGAATAATGCTTTGCGGGATGCATTGCGCAAGATGAAGGAACAGAATCAGGCTCTTGAAGAGAAGTTGGGGCAAACTGAAGGCCCGCTGAATGTGAAAAACAATGGTCATCAGAAGCGGATGCTTTTTAGTGTAGTTCTGATAGTGATGATTGTGTGTTTAGTTAGCAAGCTTGCTGCTTAGTATGATTAACTTAGAGATGCACTGCTTCTGCTGTTGTGCTCTGGATGTGCAATATATTTACTATTGTGCTCGTCGCTGCTGTTTCACCTCGTCAAACTGAAGAATGTAATTTCTTTTAAACATGGTACGTATGTCACATGTTAGAAATCATGTAGCATAACATATTGGCAGGGCATCATAAATTTAACGATAGCAAACACAAGTTTCTTAGACAAAAGACAAGCCCCGTTTCAATTTCAGATGAACTTGTCCTTTCTCGCATCAGTACAAATGTTATCTTCTTACTTGCACATCATCTGAAGCAGTGCCAAGTTTTAATGTCTTGAAACTGAAAGATCACTACACGGCCGAATAAACCTAAATGTTCACCACAACATCATTTTTCATCTTCCTTAACAGCAAATGAGGTTATTTGCACAAAAAAATGCACGAGCCAAGAGTAAAAGTAAACCAGTTGCAAGTGCAATCAAATCATTGGAAGACGCCGAACATTCTTCCTGAGCAGTTATTCCTCTTGTGGCCTTCCAGGCCGCACTTTGTACACTTTGGAACTTTCCTTTTTTTCTTTGCTACCCCTCCATATGAGGGGCATCCCGATGCTTTGTGACCCCTCCCTCTACAGATTGAGCAAAACTTTGTTCTTGGCTTGCTAACATTTTCATAACCTGGCTTTGCTCTTGCGTTTGTTGGCCTGCCTAGATCCCTCTTGCGTGATACAACATTCATTGAACCTGACAGACCATTTGCTCCTGGTGTCACAGGGACATCTTGGTCATGTGCTTGAGCAGTGGCTTGATCATTTAACCCTCGTCCATCGCTCTCCTGGTTGATATCATTTAGAACACTTATTGCGTCCAGCAACTGCTTCATTGCAGCTCCATAAGCTTCAGTGTTCTTGTCCCCCATTTGGACAATCTCGAGCGCCTTACTGTACAAGGAAGAGTGCCGATAAGTTGCGTCCTTCAGTGCAGAATTGCATGCTTTATATATCATCAGATGCACTGGCAGGTTCTCGCAGGCGTTCTTCGTCCATCTCTTCATGATGTGTACTTCTGGGATGTCCCTAACTCCGAGATGTAGCAGCACCTGTCGACGACAGAGAAAACGCTTGGTCAGATTAAATCTCCATATATGGATCCTATATTAATTTATGTAAATATGTCTCGGTGACATACATGCTCTGAGGATACGTGTCTGAATCTAGGTGTACCACTTTTGCTTAAAAAGGGGTGTTGCAAACTTGGAGCAGGCCAAAAAACTCAGTAACTGATAGAGAGTGTATTGTAAAAAACTGAGGTTTTAGAATTCAGGAACTATCGCAAGTAAGCTCCGTCAGATGAAGAAATCATGAGTATTGTGACATACATGCTATGAGGATACATGTCTGAATCTAGGTGTACCACTTTTGCTTAAAAAAGGATATTGCAAACTTGGAGCAGGCCAAAAAAACTCAGTAACTGATAGAGAGTGTATTGTAAAAAACTGAGGTTTTAGGATTCAGGAACTATCGCAAGTAAGCTCCATCAGAGTAAGATAGCATGAGTATTGTGACTTACCCGAATAGCATGACAGCACATCATGCCCATATGTGAGTAAAGACCACACTCACATAAATATCCTCCGGACCCCTCATGAAACAGAACATGATATTGTGTCCTGGACCATGCTTGCCTCCTCTCTGCATAGATGTGGTTAACAACGTAGACCACGCCTTGTTCTGTCTGCCAGGCCTCTTGTAACACAAATGACCCTGACAAGTAAATTGCGTGTTGGAACAGCTCATACATAGCTGCAGTGTAGACCTTGCTTGCATGGTATTCTAGAGGCACTCCCAGGTTGAAGACAACGCCACCCTGAAACCATCACTTGCCAATGAGTTAACTATAACATATATGAATCCATGCAGTTTCGTGAACCAAATAACCATGCTATGTATGATGATTTGTCTATGGCTTACCACACGAGTCTTCTTCGCTTGAAAATATTCCTCTGATTGTCGATCAAACAATAATTTTTGATACTGCCTTACAAAATTGTTCATGGACGATGCCGGCTGCACATAATTCTTGAGCATATGGTTTGCACTCTCGGAACGCTGTGTGCTTGTCATCCTTGCGCAGAACACACCTGCAAAATATGGCTTTGCCCATTTTGTTCTAACTTCATATATTTGAGTGAGCCATGGGTGGTCTGCAAGTTGATATTTCTCAATCAAGCTGGCCCATGCGGTTTCAAACTCATCTACTGTGACCATATACTCGAGAAGTTTGTGAAACTCGTCTCTGAAATCACTGTTTTTTGAATAAACAGAACCTAGATGTTCCCTTGCTTTTTGCAATACATGCCATTTGCACCACCTGTGAGTTGTATCAGGCCACTGGGAACATATAGCCCTCTCCATTGCACGGGCTTGGTCTGTGATAAATGAAGAAATGACATTCATGGTGAGGGCGATGCAAAGAGAAATAGTAATTAAAGGAATTAATGTTACATTTTGTTGGTGCTTTTAAATTACCCGTGAGTATTGTTTTTGGATCCTTCCCTCCCATCAAAGATGCAAATTCCTTGAACACCCACTCAAAAGTCTCAGTTGTTTCATCGCGTAGCAACACTCCTCCAAGGATGATGCTCTGAAAGTGATTGTTGACACCAACAAAAAGACCAAACGGCATGTCGTACTGGTTCGTACGATATGTTGTGTCGAATGTTATTGCATCTCCAAAGAATTTGTACTGGTGTCGGCTCTTACCGTCTGTCCACATCAATGCCCTGATCTTGCTGCCTTCATCAACAAGCACACTGTCGACAAACTTTGGATCCTTCTCTTTCAATTCAGAGAAGAGTTGTATCGTCTTTCTGATGTCATCATCGCCCTGCTGCTGATTCATCCTCTTGCAGAGATAACACAGAGATCTCTTGTTAAAGGGCAAGTTTTCCATATCCCTAAGAAAGCTTGCAATCACACCGAAAGTCTTGCTTAATGATATATTGTTGTTCCTAAGGTGCATGACAATGTCTTTGGCATGGGCATCAATGTGCCTGTGAGATGGCCAGTGCAACTTCTCTCCACATGTTTGTGCCATACTGTGATTATGCTCATGCTTCACATCATGGATGAACCAACCATGGTCTGACGTGCGATGCAACCTCATAAGCGCAGGACATTGGCAGCATACTGAATGTGAATTTTCCCTGCGTGGTTTCCCCAGATAAAATGGTGGTAAACAAAAGCAATGAGACATAAATATGGACTTTTCAGCCAAAAAATCAAAAAATTGGATATATATCATACTGAATGCAATTGCAAATGTTAGCCGGCTGGATGATATAACTCACCACGCATCCGCAAACTATGTCCTGGACCGTCTTGCACTTTTCAATGTTTCTTCTGCATTGCCCATACTTGATGCCAAAACCAATCTCCCACGAGTATAGGTTGTAGAAGTCGTAAGCTTCGGCCAAAGAATCAAATTCCTGGCCGATCTCTGGCTTGACGACGAACTCTGACTTCTTATCAGCGTAATTTCTCATGGCCTTTTCCAAAGCACTTTTCCTTCCCAATAATGTGGCACGGCTGTCAGGAATTTTGCCAAGTCGGACCCTAAGTAAATCAGAGATGTAAGCCGCAGAAGCAAATGTAAACAAAATAGCGCAAGTATGATCAGAATATGCACATTCCAATGACTTGGATCATAAGTGTCTGATTTGCATTGCGGAAAACACAATGATGAATTCAGACAACTCGGAGATGACGGCCTCATGCATACATGATAAGTATCAGTTGTTGAATCCAAGCATTCTGAAATATTTAACCGTGTATTATGATAAGTTTCGTCCTTCTTAAAAAGAACGTCCTGCTGTACATGCCCGTGCCCACCCCAATTTATTAAAAAAAGGACAGCAGAAACTGTCACTATAATTTACTGTGACCACATACCCAGATTCATGATTCTTTGACACATGGATGAGAAATTTGGGCAAGTGTACTGTTACTGTCATCCCACTAAACGTGCTACAACTAAAAACAGATTTGACAGCAAACAACTGAACACGCTACATCGAATCTTAAGGTATTCAGTCCTGACTTTTGACAATCTTGCCTACTTCTCCTCTTCAACTAAATTTAACATTCATCAATGCCAAAACTAAAAACTAGAAACTGAATATAGACCCGTGCTAGTACCTTTGAGTCCACGGAACTGGAATGGGATGCGATTCGGGCTGGGTCTCTTCTGCGTCGTCAATATCTGGGATGTTGGAGAAATATGGCATAGCCTCCTGATCTTCAGGAGTTCCTGAATCTGTGGCATCAGATTTCTCTCCATCTTGGCTTGAAGAAGGAGAATGATTCTGGAAATTAGGATGGATGCGCT